CCTTCCTTCCTTCCTTCCTTCCTTCTGTTTTGGAGCAGTGGTTAGAATGCAGTATTGCAGGCTTCTACTGCACTTCTACTGAGCGCTGGCTGCCTGTAATTTGGGGAGAAGAGGCTGACTCTGTAAACCGCTTAGAGAGGGCTGTAAAACACTGTGAAGCATTATATAAGTTTAAGTACTATTGCTGTTATTCCCTTTCTCCCTTCCTTCCTTCCTTCCTTCCTTCCTTCCTTCCTTCCTTCCTTCCTTGGTGTGCAGTGGTTAGAATGAAGTACTGCAGGCTACTTCTGCTCCCTGACAGCTGCTTCCAATTTGGCAGTTCGAATCTCACCAGGCTCAAGGTTGACTCAGCCTGCCATCCTTCCGAGGTGGGTAAAATGAGGACCCAGATTGTTGGGGGCAAAAATGCTGACTCTATAAACTGCTTAGAGAGGGCTGGAAAGCCCTCTGTGAAGCGGGATATAAATCTTAAATGCTGTTGCTATTAAGCCGAAAGCCAAACCAGCCGATTAATATATTTGGACATTGCACACACAACAGATACGCTTTGCAAAGTGAGGCTTAAAGCTTAGTGTGTTGTGTGTTGGGTGTGGTAAATGCAAATACAGGTGCTAATAGTCTGTGGCTTACAGAGAGCGTGTAAAACTCACCACACTTTCATTGGCCGATTGGAGCCTGGCCAGAATGCCTATGGAATCATCCCATTCACCCTGTTGGTGGCTCCCATCAGGAAAGTCTGCAGTCTCCTCTAGCTCTCAAACTCAAGGCCCGAGAGCCGGATCCGGCCGGTGGGGTGTTTAGATCTGGCCCGCGGGGCCACCCCGAAAACAGTCAAGGACCGGCCCATGGTGCCTCTGCCAGCGAAAACAGAGCTCAGGTGGGGTGAGGGGGTTGCAGGAGGCTGTCGCAGCCAAAAATGGAGCTTGGGAGGAGCCCCTTTTCACTAGCAGAGCACTTGGGCTACCACAGGCATCCCTGGTACAAGTGATGTCGAGCTGGCCACGCCCCCTGGCCACAGACACCCTGGCTTCTTCTGCGAGGTCAAACACAATCCTGTTAGTGGTCCTCAATGAAATCGAGTTTGATGCCTCTGCTCTAGAAGAAAAGCGTGCCTCACATCAGCTCTTTTGAAGCGTTGGCAGCATTTGGGCAATCTCTGCCAATCTGGAAAAGCTGGCAGGGTTCGAGCCAGTCCGTGCCTGAACATCTCAGGGTGAGTTTGCCAAGCCGGCTAACAAGTCAGGCCAATGGAGACTTTCCCATTTACAAATCCTCGCACCCACCCGCAATCCCCTCCTGACCATACTTTCTGTTCTTAATACTGTTCTGACCTCGGCTTCCCCAAAAAGCCCGAGGCAGAGTCCTGGTCCCGACAAAACCCCTTTTATTAAACGAATGTGAATTCCTCTCATTCCCATTCAGCCAAGGCCTGGCAAACAGTCTTTCAAAGGAGTATTTATGACCACAGACCTTATCTAGCTTGGAAAGCTGCCATGCAAATATTTTTCCAAACGCAGTGCGGTGCAAGGAAAGACTCTGGGCACAGAATCTTTGAGATTCATGGAGAGATCTTCACACTCCCGAGATGAATCTAAGGACCGAAGGAACAAATTGTTTCCTG